TATGATTCTATGAAATGAAATTAAACAAATAGCTCTGCAGAGGATAGGGGCCAACATTTGCCTTCACACACCCCTCATAGGCTGCAACAACCCAATGTATTGCACCAGAAGTAATAGCTTGTCACTTCTATTCATGGTTTTCTGCCAAAAATAAAAAAAAGACTGGTAGGAGAGGAGAGTTGGGAAGACAGAACCACCATATTTGCGAGAGGTTTTTTGGTGTGCTTTTTTTAAAAAAATATTATTTTGAGCTATTTTTGAATTTTAAAAAATGCTTGCAAATTCACCCAGAAATCTTTTGAAGGCTGAGAAAATTCCTGGGGGCCATATGAGTGTGGTTTGGGGGCCACACAGGACCCAAAGACTGAACTTGCCCCACCCTGAAAATGGGACCTTCATGCACAGAGGCAGTTTTCTGGTGAAAACTACATTTTCCGTGTCATTTTCCAGTGTTTTAAAACACCATGCAATGTTTTTTCTTCTGCAAAAGAGCAGGGCGCTATTCTGTCCCCCATGCTGTTCAACATTTACATGAAGCCGCTGGGAGACATCATCCAGAAATATGGGGCGCAGTGTTATCAATATGCTGATGACACCCAACTCTGTTTCTCTATGTCTCTGACTACTGTGGTGACTAGGGATGGCATCCCTCCTCTGGATGCCTGCCTTGGGTCGGTAATGGGCTGGATGAGGGGAAACAAACTCAAGCTGAATCCAGAGAAAATGGAGGTACTCGCAATAGGTACCCCTGGTCCGGGGAGGGAGATTTACCACCCAGTCCTGGACGGGGTCACACTTCCCCTAAAGGACAAAGTACGCAGTTTGGGAGTACTCCTGGACTCATCTCTACAGCTGTCATCTCAAGTGGATGCAACGGCCAGGAGTACTTGGTATCAACTTCGGTTGATCCACCAACTGCGTCCCTACCTGGACCGGAAGGACCTTGAAGCAGTAGTACTTGCCCTGGTAATCTCCCATTTGGATTTCTGTAACACGCTCTACATGGGGCTACCTTTGTACCAAGTTCAAAGCTTCAACTTATTCAAAACGTGGCAGCCAGATTGGTCACCGGAATACCTAGGTCTCACCATATAACTCCTGTGTTGAAAGCTCTACATTGGCTGCCGATTCACTTCTGGGCACAGTACAAAGTGTTGGTCATTACCTTTAAAGCCCTATATGGCTTGGACCCAAGTTACTTGAAGGAATGCCTCTCCCCACACAATCCGCCCCGCACTCTCAGAACAACTAGAAAGAACCTATTACAACATCACAGATCTAGGCTTAATACGACTTCCCAAAAATTGTTTACGGCCGTGGCTCCTGAGTTGTGGAACAGCCTGCTGGAAGAGATCCATCTTATTACTATTCTAGAATCTTTCAAGAAGGCACTTAAGATGGAGCTCTTCCGGTGGGCCTATCCACCTGACCTCCCTAATGGGACTTAATTGTTGTATAAGCATGATCTAACTGGCTTGATGTTAAATGGGCTTTTCATTGATTTTTACTGTTATTGTATTTATTTTATTGATATTATTGGCATATTGCGGTTTTAATGCTGTAATCCCGCCTCAATCCGAAGGGAGAGGCAGGAAATATAAATAAAATTATATTATTATTTTATTATTATTCTAATGAGAATAATAAACAGGAGGAAAGCTGTGACCTTAATCTTAATCTGCCCCTTGTGCCATATGCCCATTTTAGTGGCAGAGCATATTCATGGCATGCAAGATTTAATCCTGCCAATTTAGTCAGTGAAAAGTGTCCTTTTACTATAGCAAAGATAACAAATGTGTGGTGCTCAAGGTGTTTTTGTCCTATAACTCTCACCAGCTCTCATCATTGGCCATGCTGGTTAGGTCTGATGGGAGTTGTAATTCTGAATCTTCTGATGGGACACCTATTG